AAAAAAAAAAAAGATAATGTGAAATATTTACAGTAACAAGTCAGTGCACGACAGTAATTGTTTGCAATATGTGTTGAGCATTCAAAAATAATTACGATGGACAAAGGCTGTGTGGGTGTCTACCAAAGCATTTTTACTGAGGTTAGCATTTTTTTTTTATTGTTTTCAGTGGGAGCGCTACATATTTAAAAAACACCAGCAGCATGAATGTCTATTTTATGATTGCTGTTTTTTTTTTTTTTTTCAGTTTGCTGAGAGTTGAAAAATGTTCAACTTTGGGTAAAACACAGTGCTCATCAATGTCACTTTTTATCCAGTCGTCCAATCACAATGGAGGAGGGACGGGACAAATATCATGTGACAATGTGACAAAAGAAGATTTAATTCACACTACTGATGAAGGAGTAGGCAAAAAGCACCAAGATGACCTACTACTGCATGATTCTGAAGTGTGCATACGATGGACACTATCCCATGAGGCCATGGGAGAGGATTTATGAATGTCAGTGACGTGATGCAACTAACTATCGTCGGTCACGTGACAATTACAACATGGCAAGTATAGTCGGTCCAGATTACATTCATACTATACACATGCATACGATACATACTTATTTAGCGACCGTAAAGTAATTACTTATTCAAAAGAAGAACCCACTCATGAGAGTATGAGATTTCAGATGCAGCCATTGATTTTATTTTGAGTGACGACACAATGACCATTTCAAGATAACGGACGAGTCGACTTGTCTGGAGCAGTCGATTGTGCATGGCATCTACAGCACCTCCTACATATCTATGGTGGATATAGTATGTTCAGATTTCATTGCTACTCATATTCATACTAGATATCGAACACACTTTTTTAACAGTGGTGAAGTAGGTTCAGATTCAAACAGAGTACCTACTCAGACAGTATGCGTTTTTGGATGCACCGCGTATCATGTGCAAGACGCCGCAAAAGACGCGAGTGCAACAGTCAAGCATGTGCGACTTTACATAGAAAAATCATGGAAAAGTAGAGTAGTGGAAAGGAAAACCACATTCTGTGTGAATAGCCCCTAATATTCTCATCTATTACACACATAAAATCTCTCTATCTCCCTTATCAGTGCTTGTAATGAGAAGCGACTGTGAGCTGGTCAGTTCACTGGTGGACGGCTCTCAATCAGCACTAGCCTCAGGCTACAAGAATGTGCTGATGAATCAAATAACAGAGATAAAGACAAGGAGAATAACCACTGCTCACACTGTAGATAGAGCTCCTCTCAAATGGCAGAGATCCATAATTATGGCCTACATTTAGAATTTTATAAATGCAGTGGGATCCAAAAGTCACAGACTTCTGTATGAGAGAAAATTCCTAATTGATCAAATTTTTCATGTATTATCATGCATAACAAATTGAGTAAAATGGAGTTGTACAATTTTAGAAAGCCTTCATTTTGCTTCCACGAAGGCAGCACTAGAGCTGCATGAACTCATGATCATGTTATCCAGCATGATGTGAGAATGTGAATTAATTGTTTATACACATGATCAGTTCACATGCTCATGATTAGTGAGTTTAGGCTACATACAAACAAATATAGCAATGGGGATTTTTCTATGGCTCTTTTTGTGGGTTATATTGTTACACCAGTAGGTGGCGACAAGTGACTGTCCGTATAAGTGAGTCATTGAGTTTACTTAACCAATTTTTTCAAAAATACCTATGGACTCTTTTCACTGACTGTGATGACACATTTCCACAGTTAACATGGATTTTTTTTTTCTTTTGCTGTTGGGGCAAATGACAATGCACTTGTAGTTCCCTATCTGTCGGTCACTATGAGTTATGTCGTGATGACATTAGGGGATTTACTTGGGAGCCCCAATCACTCTGACTTTAAGAGAAAACGCCAATTAAATTTGGCTAGTGGATTTTGCATACCTGAGCGACTCCCTGTGTTACGGGTATAAATAGGCGACAGGTGCATCCACTCATTCAGATTTTTGCTGAAGGTCAACAGACCGCCCAGTTCCGAGCCCTCATGGCTGGATGATTAGTTTCTCGGGGCGGGACGCGGCTCACAACCGCAATCTGCTCCGGTCCCTTTCT